TGAGTAAGCTACTCACAAGACTCAGTAAATGGCAAAGCTATAATTGAAACCTACCTCAGGACCTTTTTCGTATATCCCCTTAGCCAGAGCTAACCTTGCAAAGAGAACTTTGTTGTTTTGTTTTTTTAAAGATGGGGTCTTGTTCTGCTGCCCAGTGGCATGATCATAACTTCAGCTTTGAACTCCTAGGCCCAAGCAATCATCCCCAAAAAGTCCTCCTGAGTAGCTAGGAATATAGGTGGCTTTTTTTTTTTTTTTAAACTTTTTGTAGTGACAAAGTCATGCTAATGTTGCTCAGGCTGACCTCAGAATTCCGGGCTCAAGTGACCCTTCTGCCTCAACCACCTGAAGTGCTTGGATTACAGGCACAAACCACCACTCCTGGTTCAGGATTATCTTTTAAAAATAAATTTCCTAACATTCCTTTGGCTTAAGATCTTACAACTCCTTATTGTACTTGGAATAAATACCAAATTCCTAACTGTCATTCCTAGGATATGGTAAGCACTGCCCACCTATCCTGGCACCCATCTCCTCCTCTCTACCCACTGAGAACTCTCTCTCAGCTCAGAGCCTTCCCTGCCTGCTAGTCCTTTCTCCCTCTTGGCCCGGAGTAGCCTCCTCACCTCCCAATCCTCCCCATTAGGAGTACCGACTGACTCCCAAGCAGAGGCGGGGTCACACTCTTCCTGGGTTCTCCCCTGTCAGGTCTGACAAGAGTGCTTGATGTGCAGGAGAGGATACAAGTTCACTGAATAAACAAATACATGCATAAAAAGTAATCTCAGAATGTATACCAAAAGGATGCAAATGCCCCACTCAGTCATTTGTGACAAGTCATATTTAACAGAGAAACCTATTTTTATATAAATAAAGACATTTATTTTACTACTGCAGAAAAAGAATTTTTTATTTTGGTCAACTACCAGTTAAAAAGCCCTTTTAATGAGGAGGTTTTTGCTGGCTTATTTACTGGGTGACTCAATAGCTCTTAAAGCAGCAGGTACCTGCTCTTTAGCAGGCAGAGAAGCTAACTGCCAGTTGTGGGCCTCAGTGGCCATGTGCCTCAGATGAACTGAATGGACGCTGTGGTCTCAGCAGCTGCCTTTGACTAGTGAGAGAAGCATCACTCAGAGAAAGTACGTCCATCCCAGGGCATCTGCACCGTTGCTCTTCCCAGAATGCCCTCCCCAAGCCGCTCCCCTCAGAGACAGACGCCTTCCCCAATTCCCCATGTTAACGCGGCTGCACCCTGCACCCCTCTACCTGCCCCAGCCCTGTCCCCCAGTCTCACATCGCTCTGTTTTGGTTTCTTCACAGCACCCTTCACCAAGCTAAACCACTGCACTTATTTATTTGCTTACTGATCCACAGATTTTCTCCTCTGGACCTAACAGTTGTAAGATCTATGGAAGCAAGAGCTTTGTTGGTCTTGTTCCCTGTTATATTTCCAGAGCCTACAACATTGTCAGGCATAAAACAGTCACTTAATAAATATCTGCTAAACAAATGAATGAAGCCAAGCTCACATTTCTGAGTTACTAGTAATATTTGAGACAATGGTGATATTCCTCTGAATAACTCCACTCTCTGGGATCTGTTGGAAGACCCATCAAACATACATGCAGAATTGTATTTTTAGAAATGTAAAAATAGTAAAAATTTCAAACACATACAAATGGAGAGAGAATCACATAATATCACAGAACATCAGACCACACGACGAAACAACATAATGAACCCATCTTCAATTAGTTATCAATACATGGCCAGTCTTCACAGGTTAAGTACTATATACTTGATGCTGCTGAAATGAGACTGTTTGAGAATTTCATAAGTTATATTAAGATGTTATCCAAGGTAGATTCACATCCAGTTTAGGGAAATAAACTAGCAGATTGAAAATTTCCAAATAGCTCATCTAGGTTTCACATGGTACTGAGAATAGTAATCTTGCTCCTTTTCCCAAGAACCTCAACCCTCCTGTATCAAGAAGAAAGCTATGAACACCAAAAATAGCTGTCCTGCAGCCCCATGGGATCAGCCATGTCTCTACTACTAATGCACTTGGCGGCTGCTTTACCCACCCTGATTTGACTTGCTCCATTATCTGGTTTTCCAGCACACATAGCAGATAGGACAGCTAACACGCAAGGCTGGGAGAGAAGACGGCAGCTGGACCGGGCCTTCTGACAGCCCAGTACTATCACAAGAGACAGGAGCCCAGAGCAACCCAAGCTCCTGTCATCACATGGAAAACAATGGACAGTGATGTCCAGCAGGCTCTAGCTTCTGCTTACAACAGTGGGGGAGATAAAGAAAAATGGTGAAAGGCCAGAGTTTGAAGAAACAAGCTCCAGTTATCTGGAAAATTAACTTACATGAAAATACTTACAAGGTGAGAAAACAAGGGCAGCTGGAAGAGTTGGGAAATATTTTTTTCACTGGAGTAGGAGTTATTTTAGATAAAGATTCTAGCCAATTTCAATTATTCAGGGTTCAGCTTTGTTTGGTTTTTGTTTTAGTATTTTGATCAAAAGGGTGTCATTACACGTAGTTTTCATTTCAGTCTCAGTCTGTATGAGATGGTCAAAGTCAAGACCACAAGGGAATGACTAAAAAAGAAAACATCTTGCAACAAGGCACAGAATGAACAGGTGCAATCAGATATGCTCAATCGGCAGGCCCCAAACCTACCCTTTAACAAAAAAGGCCAGGTGGGGTGGCTCACACTTGTAATCCTAGCACTCTGGGAGACCAAGGCCAGAGGATTGCTTGAGCTCAGGAGTTCAAGACCAGCCTGAGCAAAGCAAGACCTTATCTCTACTGAAAACAGGAAAAGTAGCTGAGTATAGCGTACACACCTATAGTCCCAGCTTTTCGGAGAGTGAGGCAGGAGGACTGCTTAAGCCCAAGAGTATGAGGTTGCTGTGAGCTATGATGATGCCATGGCACTCTACCCAGGGCAACAGAGTGAGACTCTGGCTCAAAAAAAAGATAAGTTAGCATCCCTAACATCTTCACCTTCACTGCTCCCCACTTAACAAAAAGAAGGTGACAAAGGAGGTAGGAAAAGAAGAACATATTTGTTTCTTCTGCAATCATCTGGGAGTATAATCATTTTCATTAGGATTTTTACACGAAAACATTTCTCTGCTTGGAGACATTCACAAAAAGAAATTTTGGGGTGAGCTCTTTTTGTCATGCTCCTGCTTTTGTAGAATATTCATTCCAAAGGCAATGAATATACTTTAAAAGTTGACATCTTATTCTTTTTATCAATTTACAAAACTAGTTCTTCACTACTTTCATTTAAAAGTAAAATATGTACTATTTGGCATGCATATTTCTAAATTGAAAGTGAACTAAAAATTAAGTTTGCTCTTAAAGGGTCACATCCTCCTTCAAGATAAATGGACGTATCTTAAGGTACTGGAAAAATTCCACTGTGATCCTGACACGGAACCAGTGTAAACAATGGAAAACATCTACATGATGCCTTTCCCAGGGTACTCAGAGCACGATTATTGCAACGAAGTAGTATGTTAGGTGGCATGTCCCATAATCAAGCATGTTTTCTGAACTCTTGCCACTTCAATATTCATCAAACATGATAGCCTATCGAGGGTTCTGAGAACATGTGCAATCAATAAATTGATGTAGCGTTACTGCAGAGCCTTCTTTCCCTATGTGGAAAACATTAACATCCACTTCTAGGGAACACACTTCAAGGAAAGCTGAACAAATTAACAGTAAGAAGCTAACAGAGAAAAGTATATTCCCTGTCTCCCCCTATGAAGGAGGAAAAACAGATGCACTCCGAGACCTACTTTTTAAAATGTCAGAGGACCATAACGATGCCAATAACCCTTTAGAGCAATTTTTCCAGAAAATTTTTCTAAATTTGAAAATAAATGCAAACAGCTGAGCTTCTTATTCACACTTTGGTCATTTCCAGAGGGGTATTCTAAAACAAAACAATGGGTGTGCCCTTCACTGCCTCCCTCAGCGGGGACACAATAGAATAGAACATCTGCCAATAAATGACTGAGACTCAAGGTGGAGAGAGGAAGGGAGGAGGAGGCCCCCAGAAAGCCACGCACAGGAAGAACAGACACTCTCAGTGTCTTCCTGTGCTCTGAAGTCTAGCCTGCTTCTAGTTCAACCATTTGGGTTCCTGGCAGGCCTAAACAGGAGTGATCACAGGGAGAGGCTCGTTCACAAGGTCCTGCAGACACAGGGCTTTACCTCCAGATCTGCCAGGCTCAGGTCAAGAGCAAACGATCTCTTAGAGAAGTTCAAAACAGTCCATTTTCTAGAAGGTCTATAAATGATGGCAAACCATTAGGAAATTCCCAGCTCCAACTAATGGATCTCAACACAAAGAAGTCAACAACCCTTGAAGCCTTAAATGGGAAGTTGACTTGCACAGTTTGGAGTCCACACAGGTTTTCAAACACTAGTAAAGAAACAAACCTGAAGAATGGAAAAATAAACCACGGTACCCTATAGAATGCTTACAGCAGTGCAAGAACACAAGCCAGAGTTCATTCTACACATCCTCGTGGAAGAAGCACAAAAACAGAATGTTGGACAAAGGTAGTCAGCCCTGAATGAAACATTAAGTGCAATTCTATTTACATAGAGTTCCCCCAAAAGAGCAAAACTGAAAATATATTGCTTGGGTAGATATAGGTAAATATAGAACTATTTAAAAAAACAAAGGAATGATAAACACGAAAATCAGGAAAGTGGGGTTATTTGGAGGGCAACACTGTTCTGGGCCCACTCTTCTCAAGTAAGGCCTCTTTGTTCAGTTAGACAGAGTGTCTATTAACATTTTTTAATTTCATGTATATATTTTAATACGTATCTATTATATTATCACTATATTATATAATAAAAATGTATATGTTATATACACTTTTGTATATAATGTATATTATATAATTTTACAAAGTAGGCAGTGATTCTCCTCAAGTCTTTAAAAAAAAATTAAAGTGCTTGCTTCAGCAGCACATATACTAAAATAGAAACGATACAGAGAATATTAGCATGGCCCCTGCGCAAAGACGACAGGCAAATTCACGAAGCGTTCCATATTAGAAAAAAAAAATGGATGAGTCAGGAACTTCAATTAGGAGAGATTCATCAACTATAGTTAAGGTCAAGAACATCCCTGGAATTCAATGAGTCTTTGCAATTAAAACAGGAAATTCCATTACATCTTCCCTGGTCCAAATTTCTGGAGGTTGCCAGACACATATCCTTGCGTTTTTGGCATCTGATAGTCTAGTTCAGTGGTTCTGGGCCGGGAACCTTTAATACAGGTTGAAAACCGCTGGTCTCGTTTCATGACTGTGCAAAGAAAATACATGATGAATGGGGGTCCCGCTGCAGAACTGCTGCATTAAGAAACATAAATTTTCAAATGAGCCATTTAGACAAATAAAGGGCAGCAAAAAGGCAACAGACCAAAGTCTTTCACAAGCTGCACTCCAAGAATCACATGAAGGCTCTTTCACTCTTTCCCAACTTCCTCAGACTCTTCAATCACCTTTTTACTAGCAGTTGCCAGGTATCAGTGAAGGTACAACTCTCCAAAAACCTTTCTCTAAGACTGAACCAGCTCAGCAGCCCTGAGAAAATAATAACCAATATTTACACGCTAAGCTCTTCCAGGTCAGGCCCAGTCTCAGTCCTGTAGTAGCTTCAACACCTACTTCAATATCTGATCCATGGAGATGCTAAAAAAACTCTTTATGATACAACTCAATCACATACAGACTTAAAAAAAAAAAGATATGAACTTGGAACTTTAAAATTATTTCTATTTAAAACTTTTTAACAAATCCTCAGGATCATTAAACAGATGGATATTAAAACTGTGAGATATCGTGAGCAGAGATGATTTTTCTAATCACGTATTTTAGGTACCACTCATTAGCAGGCTTGTAGAAGTCACAATTCCAGCAGGACCCATAACTTTTTTTTTTTTTTTTTTTTTTGAGACAGAGCCTCAAGCCGTCCCCCTGGGTAGAGTGCCATGGCATTACAGCTCACAGCAACCTCCAACTCCTGGGCTCAAGCGAGTCTTCTGCCTCCGCCTCCCAAGTAGCTGGGACCACAGGCGCCCGCCACAACGCCCGGCCATTTTTTGGTTGCAGCCGTCATTGTTGTTCGGCGGGTCCCGGCCGGGGATTCGAACCCGCCACCTCAGGTGTACATGGCTGGCGCCCCAGCCGGGTGAGCCACAGGCGCCGAGCCAGGACCCATAACTTTATCGGAACATTTCCCCTCCACTAATTAAGGGTTAGAGCTGCTTACAATAGACATTTGGGGGATTTTTCTGAACAACCTCTAGTGTTGGACCTGAAATGAAATTTTAGCTATATTGCTGAAAGCACATATAGTGAGTAATTACTGATGGAGTCTGTCAGGCTGGGGCAGACATGACACGGCTGGTCTGGTCAGTTTGGTCCTGCCTGACCTTCACCCCCTGTCTCCTTTACTGTTTTATAAGTTTAGCCCTTACCCTGAAGATGACTATCTTGAATAGTTTAGGGGGATTGATTTAGGAGATTAACTTTTAATTTAGAATGTTGTTTATGAGTCATAGGTTCTGCCAATTATTGTTTAAGATAAGAGTTAACATGGTCTTCACTTTGAACTTAAATGTATAAAACCTTAATGTTGGAAATGGAAGAACAGAACAGTCTTGGAGAGGCTACTCTCATTGTTCTCCAGAATCCCAGCCTTCGGACAAATAAAGTTCAGTGGACCTAGCCCTGTCTCTACCAAAGTTTGGTGGACCTAGCCCCATCTCTACCTACTGGCTGACAGTGACAGGCAGCCCGACCCTCTTCGTCCAGTAACACTGGTATGGGCCCATATGATGCTTTCGATGTATTAATGAAAAGTTCAATGTATGACTGTGCTTTATGCCCCTTTTGTTTGATTTAAAAGCTTAAGTTTCTCCTTGGATTAATCAATAAAAAACTTTTATAAGTGAACTCTGCAGATATTATGGTCATTCAATAGGACTTGCAGGTAAAATGAAATGTCTATAAGCAAAAAAGCAAAACTACCGAGGAAAACCCTTCTTAAAGTTTGTATTTATCTTGGACTAAATATTCTATTTTTTTCCCAACTCTTCCTTACAGACACAACAGACCAAGGAGAAAGTTATGGGAAGGATGTCATTATGAGCTGGGAATTAGGGGATCAGAAAAGGTAAGACAGAAAAATAAAAAAGAAGGCTGCTGGTCTGGCGCAGAAGCAGGCGTCTATGGTCTCAGCTACCCAGGAGCCCGAGGTCAAAAAATACTTGAGCCCCGGAGTTTAAGATTACAGTGAGCTACAGTGACACCAATGTACCCTAGCCTAGGTGACAGCGCAAGACCCTGTCTCAAAATTAAAAAATAAATTAAAAATAAAACAGGAAGAGCTGATTTCATGGAGTTAATGTGGTTTGGTTTTAAACAAATGTGAGGGTGTTGAGCATACACCCTGGGTGAAGGGCTCTTTTACAACTTGAACTTTACTTTACCTTGGAGGTAAGAACAATGTAACCTAAAAATTTGTACCCACGTATAAATTTGAAATTAAAAGAAAAAAACAAATGCTAAAGTGCTAACTTGAAAATTCTACTTTGTAAATGTGTCCTCCAGTGACGTCACATAATCGCAATGGTTTAAGGGATACGTTCCTGACCTACGTTTGCTTTAGATCTTTTTTAAAATCAGAGGACACACTGACTGTACAGTGGTAAGCACCTGGATCCTGGCATCAGACGGAACGAGATGAGCTTTTCTAACTATGAAAACTTGAGCAAGTTATGAAGCCTCCATTTCTTCATCGGTAAAATGGTACTAATAATACTTAATAGAATTGTTCTCAGGATTAAATAAACTAATGAGTGTAAAGCTTTTGGTGAGCAATCAATAAAGGTTAGCTTTGAGTATTAAAAATAAAAAATAAATAAAAAATGCCAGTTATGCTGTCATCATATAAAATGAATAATTCATAAATATCAGAAATACTTTGAATTGTTAGATATAGTATAAGAGACTGATATGAACAGTTGTTATATATTAAAGTCTTATGAATAAATCATTTTCATGACAAAAATAAAAAATAAACAAAGTAACTTTGAGATGCCAACTTGAGACGTCTAAGTGAAGAAGTAGGCAGTCTAGATACACTTGAGGTCCAACTAAAAATGATGTTTCAGGTGATGAACCTGAATGAGATTATTCACTTTCTTGTGTAGCGTAATTTAGTCTACTTGACAGTATGAAGTAAATTCCATCATCTCTTTAAGGAAATAATCTGGTAGATGTTTCACAAGAGAAAGCACAGATTTCCTTTACACTTTACTAGGAGAGAACACAGACTAAATCCTGCTGCTCTGGAGGCTCACTCCTGTAATCCCAGCACTTTGGGAAGCCAAGGTGGATGGACTCTTGAGCTCAAGGGTTTGAGACCAGCATGAACAAGAATGAGACCTTGTCTCCACTAAAAATAGAAAAATTAGCCGGGCGCTGTGGTGGACACCTGTAGCCCCAGCTACTTGAGGGCGCTGAGGCAAGAAGATTGCTTGAGCCCAAGAGTTTGAGGTTGCTGTGAGCAATGACACCACAGCGCTCTCTACCCAGGGCAACACAGTGAGACTCTGTCTCAAAAAAAGGAAAAAAATCCCCTGGGCAGGAGCAGGTAACTAATAGTGCATGGTGTGTGTGCATTGCATTTACAGGTTTGTCTCCTCAACGCTTAAAACCAAGGAGTATATTTGATTAGCAGCAATCATTCACTGGGAATCGGGTGGCTTCCAGAATAACAAAGGCAAACAGCATTATCTGTTTAAGGGTTTATTCATGAGTAAAGAGACAAAAAAATGTCCACTAGCTCTAGAAATTAGCTACTAATGAAGAGGATACTTGGCTAGGAGAGAGGCAAATCAGAGGGAACACCAACTGAGTCACACAAATAGCTACATTTACTACAGGTGTCGGTTATTTCAAACCTGCCTCCCTCCAACTCTCAAGAGAACCTGCTGCGCCGGCAGCACTGAAGAGGCAGCCCGTATGGACAATAACCTCCTTATGTAAAAATGCTCATCTTAAAATGAAGCTGTCAGAACCAAGCATGTAAACTGAAGTGATCACTGTGTCCAAGTGGCCAGCTATTCAGAAAAGAAATACACTTATCTTTTGTTAAAATATAATGTGACCCCCAAATTCAGTTCTTGTGAAGTTCAAAGAAATCTTTCTACACCAGGTGGAAAAGATAACAAAACACAACAGATATCCTGACATCCCCAGATCCCTGAGGTGGTGACGCTGAATTCAGACAGCTACAGAACCTGGGGATACCAGGTACCAGCTGTGTCAGAGGCCACCACCCAAAGCACAGAAGCCACAACTGCTTCTACTGCACTGACCATAGCGGAGGCTGGGGGTCAGGGGGAAAGCAGAGCTCATGGGGTTCTACTTCATCTATTATGCTACAGGTAGACTACAGGGCAGGAAGCAGCCTCACTACTCCCTGCTCTCACTTTTTTTTTTTTTTTTGCAGTTTTTGGCAGGGGCTGGGTTTGAACCCGCCACCTCCGACATATGGGACTGGCACCCTACTCCTTTGTCCAAGATCTCTTAACACTAGAACACCACAAGGCAAGAAACTTATTTCCCTGCTTTGAGTAACATCACATGGATTAAATGTGATCAGAAGATAACCATGCAAAACTGAGAAATGATTAAAAGGCCATTTGCAAAACCACATCATAGAGGCCACATCAAGTCCTAAACTTCAAACTTCAAAAAAAAACTGGGTCATGCTAACCACTTAAACATGAAATTAGAAAGACCGGTATATGATGGAAATGTTGAAAGAATTTCATGTGAGATCGTGGACACTATAAATAACACAAAACTAAACACAAGATTACAAACAATTTGATCGTGTGCGCATTCCAGAGCAAGTCATGAGAAAAGAATTTCTCCAACAAAACAGCTCTTCAAGAAAAAGGTATTGAACTCTCACAATTTTTTAAATCATTACCTGCTTTGTAAAGATTAGAATGAAATACATTTTATGGTAGAAACC